GGCAGCTCTGGGAGGGTGCAAGCTGGCACACTTCTGCTTAGGTTCGTGCAGCATGGCAGACACAGGGCAGGGGCCTGGGCACCAGCCTGTGTCCCAATCCTGGGACTAACAAGAAACCTTGGAGAAATTGGTTTTAATTTCCCCAATTATAACTCAGAGAAAATACAACCTGTCCCATTTGACCCTCAAGGAAGTTATGAACATGAGGTAAAGTAATATGCAAGAAGATAATTTTGGTTGGAGCTCCAAAATGTATGGAGTCAGTATCATTTGTCCAGGAAAAAAGGGAAATGTAAAATATCCAATTGAAGTATAATGGCCATAGTTGAGAAACTCAGTTTTTATCACTTACAGTTACACACTCACCATACACATTATATTAACAAAACATAGAAGAATATGTATTTTAAGGTGCAATGCCTCTTCTAGGACAGACAAATCTCATCTAGGTGAACAGACAGCAGAGAAGTAGTTGTCTAGGGCTGGAAGCTGACAGGAAATATACAAGGGAACCTTGGCAATGGCCGAAGTATTCTGTATCTCCGTAGTGGCAGTGGTGGTATCATGCATTTTACTTTACTGTAAAGGTCCCTAACTGCTGGTAGCCATGTCGACCTTAATTTGGGGAGCGGATCTTCTACGCTGTGGATTATCCATTTCAACACTGTACTTCCTTCCTTCCTGCCCTCTACTTAGAGCACAAGTGGCCTGGAGCACATGAACCTGGATATACAGGGGTGGGCAAAAGTGGATTTACTGTAATTAATTAATAAAACAAGAATAAACTGTGCTTCGTGAACTCACAGCTGTAAGCCTACTTTTATGCCCCACCCTGTATGTGTCCTGGGAACACAGCTGAAGTCAAACGTAATCTATTGCTTCCCCGCAAAATCAGCTGCTCTGACCTGACTGACCACCCTCTGTAAGTTCCTCCTGACACCATCTGAGCCCCATCCCCTGGATCTCTAAATCAGGGGAGGCTCCCTGTGGCTCCTCTTTCTTGTGGGACCCTAATGGCCCTCACTCTTCCTTCTCCTCTCCTTCACCTTTAAGGTGATGATGCCATGTCTACATCCCCAGGCTTTACCTGGAGGGCAGCAGAGAGGTGACAGAACATCCTAAACCCGTGGTTGGCAAACTGCAGCTCGAGAGCCACATGCGGCTTTTTGGTCCCTTGAGTGTGGCTCTTCTTAAGCCTTAGGAGTACCCTAATTAAGTTAATAACAATGTACCTACCTATATAGTTTAAGTTTAAAAAATTTGGCTCTCAAAAGAAATTTCAATCGTTGTACTATAGATATTGGCTCTGTTGACTAATGAGTTTGCCGACTACTGTCCTAAACCAAGCATGTCAAACTCAAAGGCTAACATGGGCCAAGTAAACAAGGAGCAAGTTTATGTGGGCCTCAAAAAAACAAAAGCTTCAATTTTCATAGAAACATAGGTTTATTTCTATAGAGACACGCTGAATACAAAGGGCTGAAATAAATGAGTGATTGTTAACATAAAATAATAGAACATTTTAATAAAAATTAGTATTTTTCTTGAACATTAACTTACCAGACACTGAATAACTGCACAAATTAATAAGCATAACACTTGTTCTCTGAGAGTGAAATATTTCCTGTTTCTCACACCAAACAAGTCAGTATAAGACCAATGACATGGCAATCAGTAGCTAAAATATTTGCTGCTAGTATTAGTGGAGAGAAATGGTGCACTTGTGCGTAAGGCGCATAAGTCACGTAAGGTGCATAAGGGAAATGAATGCAACATGATTATAATAATCAGTCATTAGCAAATGTTGTAGTTATTGATAATTATGTATAATGGGATATTGTAAAAATTAAATAACGAAATTTTTATTAAAACGTTTCTTACATACCATTACATTGGCTGGGCCCCAAAAATATTCGTTGTGGGTCATATGTGGCCCACGGGCGGCAGTGTGACATGGTTGTCCTAAACATTTGCCATCCTGAGACCTTTCATTCAGGAAAGAAGGGCAGGTTCATTAACCCTTCACTCAATAAGAAATCACCTGCTAAATTTGGAAGTCAAGTATTGAAGTAATTATTTATGATTGCTTTCATTCAACCAAGAAACATCTATTAAGCACGTACATTGTTCCAGAGTTCTCAGAGCTGGGGAAGGAACAATGAATGAAACAGACAAAATTCCCTGCCCTCAAAATTAGGGATTGCCTGGGGGAGTGGAGGAGACTGACTGCAAAGGGCCTGAAGGAATAATCCGGGGTACAGAAATCTTCCACATGTGATCTTGGTAGTAGCTACACTCTGTACACACTTGTTAGAAGTTACTGAATTATGTACTTAAAATTGGTGAATTTTATTGTATGGCTAATATACCTCAATAAATTTTTTTTTAAAAAATCCACACCCCCAAAGAACTTAATTTCTAATGGCCTTCATATAAAGTTTTGAATATTAAGCTCTAGGTCTTCAAGAATTCAACTCAATGTTAATATGAAAAGTTCACAGAAACTTTAAAAATGTGTAATACCTAATTTCAATATCTATAGTAATGAATTATGCTAATCAAGGTTTTCTGATTCTACCTTTTTTATCTGAAAAAATGCAAATAATACTTACCTAAAAAATAAGGGACATGGGTGCTTTGCTTAAATCTCAGATCTTAATCATATGGACATTGTGTCGATGCCAAAATGAACAGGACAAGAGTCACTGCCAATTTCAAAACTTTGCTCTCTGGGTTTCAGCCATCTTTAGGTTCTGAGTCAAACTCTGCTATGGCTTCTTTCAGAACAGCCTCTTAATATTCTGGAAACACTACTAACCTGAGCTTGCCATTTCCTCCAGTAACCTCCGGCTCCTCTGAAAGTTGGAATCCCACTTTCAGCACTAATACCAGCCCCTGAAATGATGACTATGTGGTTTGCTTTTGCAAAAAGTTTCCGAAAATCGGCCATACCTAAAGAGAGAATAAAATCTTTATCAATCCAGTGCACCATTTGGATATTTATATCTCAGACCAATCATCTGCATAGGTTTTCCCTGCTCTCTGAAAGTAGAGTGTTTCTTATGAAAACCTGCATAAAGCAGAGAAGCAACTACCTTAGGGCATGTTTTGCTAATGGATGCACAAAATAAGTGGAGATAAAGCACAGATGCTCACAGACAGTTCAAAGCTGTAGTGCTTGATGCTGAATGTAGCTTCCAGAGAAGGAGCGTGGGGGGCCACTCTTGCTGCTGGGGTGTGCCCTGTCTCTGTAACTCGCTGCAAGACTAATGCTGAATGCTATTGTTGTCTTAAACCTTTTTTCAATGCAAAATCCTCTTCAGTTTTCTTTTGGTTAGCGAAAACAGATACTAATTTAGTTTTTTGTAATAGTGAAGTGGTGTAGAGCAGTGGTTGCCAACCTTTTGGACCTCATGGACCACTGGTTGGCGACTGCTGGTGTAGAGCAAACTTTGGAAAAGCAGGAGATATCTATATTTTGAAACTTGACCTTGTGTGAAATTATACTTTAAGATACTCAAATAAAAATCATTCCTATATCATGAAAATGCTATCCATGCCCTTGATGTATGAATGTACAACATCTTAAGAAAGAAGCAGGGCCTTCAGGCACACAGCACTGGCTCTGAATCAGCTCCACCTCCACTCATGTGTGAGATCTTCTGTGAATCACTGACCTTCTGCTATCCTGGGCTCCCTTGGCAATTTAATGTGCACAATACTGTCCTCCCCAGAACAGGGTTGCTATGAAGATTAATGGATGGGAATGCAACTTCCTTCATGAAAGTAAAGACAAGTTGTGTGTGTGTGCACGTGCGCGCATGCGCGCGAATCCTACCTTCTTTCAGCATCACTACTAAAGGTCAGGATGAGGGCCCTTCCCCTGTGAACAAATGCTGTGCCCTAAACCTAGACACGTGACTTTTTCCTTTATGGCTCAAATAAGAGCTAGCCTTTTCAACAAGATGTCATCAGAGACTTGGGGTAACAAAAGGGAATTGAACATAGAGAATAGCACGGCAGCACGTAATCGCAGTCACAGACCATGGCTTGCCCTCTAGATCAAAGGCCTTGCTCTGCACCTCCAGGCATTCTACCCTGATCTCAGACCAACACAGGCAGTAGCCATTACAGAGTGAGGGCTCACTGCACCCCAGGCTGTGCCAAGCACTTTACATGGGCCACGAGATGAGTTTGCCCCTGAAGAGAATGCCCTCATCCCAGGATAAGAACAAGGAGCCAGACTTGACAGTGCCACTGTGTCTCTTGGGTGGCAGAGTATTAGGTCAGGACCCAGCAGTATATGGCTAGGAGCAACACCCTTCTCTCACAGACACTGTGGCTCTGCAGGCCCTCATGTGAGGGGTAAGTGCTTGGCTCCAGCAGGCCAGATGTAAGCCATACAGAGCTGAGCATAAACTTCAGGGAGAAGTGAGACTCCCTCTCTGCCCTCTACCTGGAAAAGTAAATGCCAGACCAGCATTGCCTGGGGCTGGCCTGGGCCACGAAGCAGACATCTAGGAGTAGCCAACCTGTGCTAACAGAAAAGTTCAGCAAAAATGGAAGTGAGTCCCACAGCTGATGGAGTGGACTTTCTGGTCTTCCAATGGCAACCGAGGTTAACCCTTGGGCTGACTGAGCACACACTAAGAGATGGAACTGGTTTCAGAAACAGAAAAGCAGAGGCTCCAGCTCCCTGCTGGCCACATTCCTGGAGCTCTCTGGGATCACTTTTCTCGCAGCAAGGCTCAAAGGAATGAAGATGGCTCAGGCGCACTGTTGCCTTCAGGTATAACCAGCCCAACTACCTGCCAGCCATGTTAACACTCTGCCTACCCTCACATACCTTTCCGAAATGGACTGATGTGAAAAATAAGGCCTGCTAAAGCTGTCCAACCAAGAATATTTCTGAAAAAAATATCTAATCTGAGTGGATCAGAGTTTGTAGTCCGATCTATCCACTGAGAGAACAAGATGCTAACTACATCTTGTAGCTATTTATATGACTCCTGAGTTGAACCATACAAACATATTTAAGGACTTCAAAGTTTACCCATAAAACTTTCCCCCGCTCTGAATGCCTTTTCTACCTCAAATGTAAAGTCTGTCATCCTTTTGATGAATAGATTCCCAGGTCAGAGTGAGTTCTGCTAAGGTACCACTTTAAGCAATTTCTAGAAACAGATAAAGAAGTCAACTCAGGTTTGGTTTTTGGAAAACAGGATGTAAGCTATAATAATGTTAAAGCTGTGTTATAGATGACATTTCCTAACTGCTCAAGGAAAACACACCAGCATGTTTTACAGTTTCAGACCCAAACTGTAAAGGGTCTGAAGCACATGCTTCTGGGTCCCACCACAGCCTCTAGCAGCCTGTCCTGCATAGCTGTGAACACCAAGGGTTGGACAGATGAGTGGAACTGGGTTATTTGGGCTCTTTATTGTTCCTGAGATTGGGCAAAATGGAAGGAGGTATTATTATAATTCAGCAGACTTGTGATATTAGAAAAAGTTATCCAAAAGTTGAAAATGAGGCAAAAAGAGTTCAACTTGGCCTTTCAATGCCACATTGAAGAACTGTTTAACAGGGATCAATGTATAATATTAATTCTTGAGATGGACTTCAAATGATTCTCAGGGATCATTTATTACATAAGTCTGTTAAACTCTATACCCACTACAGAGGAAGGACCCAGATATGTTAACTTATAGGTTTTTGTCAGGTAGAGATTTACAGAGGATACATGAAATCTTATGCTAATCAACAAAATAACCTTCTTGATTAAATAACATATAATTTCCCCAAATCAGGGAAGAGGATAAATGCCTTAAAACAAAGGCCAGGCTTGTCATGCCTGCCATAAATTGCTAGCAGCCTTCTGAGCATATTACAGGAACTAGCTTCAGGGAAGGACATGCTGGCTCCAAGAGACTTGCTTACTCTCGACCATAAAAATGACCTCCACTTGACCAGCTTTAAGATAATCATTGGGAATGGACTGTGCTTACTTACATATAGGGAACTTTCAACCCCGCCTACCCCTGATTTCTTTGTTCTGCTTTCCCTCTCCTTCCTAATAAAAACCTCTGCCTGCACTGAGATGTTAAGATGATCTTTGGTATGAGAGTCCCTCACCTTCTCAGGTTGCCGGCACTTGAATAAACCTCTTTCCTTCTCACCAGCACCTATCTTACAAGTTTGGCTTTGGTTGCTTGTGTTTGGTTAGAGATACAAATCATTTCTGACCAGTAAAAAATGTAATCCAATATTACCCTGTAGGACAATCAACAGCTTTTCTCCCCTGCAGAGAGATGAAGGGTTTAAAATACAAATCATGTGTGAAAGGCTTAAGTGCAAATATTTTATGAGAAGCACAGACTTACCTTAACTATTAAGAGATCATCTCTGACCTGTCTTGGAAGGGGCTTGCCTAAGAAGAAAAGGACAGAATGGCCTCCTCCAAAATCTTGCCCAACACCCACTTCAATATAATCATTCCCCTCAAAGTGTAGGAACTTTCAGGTACTTAAAATTCCATTAGAGATGAGGAGATGGCAGGCTAAGAAAGACCTACTTGAACTTGGACGAGCCATTGTTAGGCAAATCTTGGTTCCCGTGGCAACTGGAGACTTCAATCCACAATACAGTTGGGAAATTAATCGGCTGGGGACAATCTGGAGAAGTCCCATCAGGTTTTCTTTATAGTATTAATTCTTGAGATGGACTTCTGAAAAATCACAAAAACAAATAGAAACAATCAGAAAATAATTGTATTTTACAAATATACATTATATATATACATATATTATATATGAAGGCCTTCACAATATTTTTAGTGTCAGATCTTCATGGTATTCAGCTGTTTTCAATTGATTCTCAAGAGCACCTACATGCCCTGGAGCAGTGGTTCTACAGCAAAACTGGCTAATACTCTTTTAAAACGTTATCAAGGTTATGAAAGATAAAGACTGGGGACTTGTCCCAGGTTGGAGACTGAAGAAACAGGACAACTAAGTGCAATGTGATATCCTAGATTGGATTCAAAACTTGAAAAAGATCTTTAGTGAGAGAACTGACAAAATTTGAATGAAGTCTGAAAATTAGTTAATAGTATGGTATAGATGTAAATGTCCTCGTTCAGACCACTGGACTGTAATTATGTCAGATATTAACCTTAGGGGAAGTTGTGTAAATAGTATATGGGAACTCTGTGTACATATTTGCAACATATCTGTAAACTTAAAAATATTTCAAAATAAAGTTTTCTTTAAAAAAAGGAAGATAAAGATAAGCATTATACTAAGTGAAAGGCTACATGTTTATGACCATTGAGATATTCCTTTTTTAACCCATTACATATTTTTATTAAAAAAAGAACTATATTTTCAACATTAACAAAAATGTACGTAAAGTTGTGGTGTTGATTACATTTCTGCAAATCTCTTTAATGTTGGTTTAAATAGAATATAACTCACTTCTCACATCTGTTCCTGCATTCAATGTGTTGCCTACCACATCCTTATTTAGTCTCCGCTCAGGTCCTCTGTACCTGATTTTCTTTTTGCCATTATATTCTTCCCTTGGCCCTTCCCATGCATTACATCTCAGCTTAAGTATCATTTCCTTAGAGAAGTCTCTTCCAACCATGTTTACATTTGCACCCTTTTGTCAATTTCATCACCATGCCCTTTCTAGTGTATAATGTGAAGGTAAGAAATATCCAAACCTGTAGAGGATAAATATTTATAAGAGTTTATGTGAGCCAAACTGATGACATATGCCAGGAGCAAGATTTCAAATGCTTCCCACTTATATGATATTCTGAAAAGGCAAAACTGTAAGTAGAGAAATCGCATCTGTGGTTTTCAGGGTCCGGGGGAGGGAGGAGGCAAGGAGACCGAAGAAACTTTTAACGCAATGAAAAATAGGGGTGCCAGAATGACAGGAAGAGGAACAAGGGTTATAAAACCTATTTGAAGAAATAATATCAGAAAACTTCCTAATGTGGAGAAGAAAAAAGTCACACAAGCACAGAGTTCCAAACAAGATGAACCTGAAAAGACCCACATCAAGACACATCATAATTACGATGGCAAACGTTCAGGACCAAGAGAGAATCTTAAAGGCTGCAAGAGAGAGACAGAAAGTTACCTACAAGAGATCTCCCATTAAATTATCGAACGACAAGCTAGCAGTGCAAGAATCCTAAAGGGACTGATATAAAAAGAAGAAATAAAAAGGGAAGAAGGAACACAGGCACAAAAAATAAAAATGGCTACAAACAAGCGCCTATCAATAATAACTTTAAATGTAAATGGACTAAATGCTCCAATCAAAAGACATCGAGTGGTTGGATAGATTTAAAAAAAAAAATGATCCATATGCATGCTGTCTACAAGAGATCCAACTCAGAACAAGGGACTCACACAGACTGAAGGTGAAGGGATGGAAAAATCTCTATCAGGCAAATGGAAATGAAAAAAAAAAGCTGGGGTAGCAATACTTATATCTGACAAAATAGACCTCAAAGTGAAGGCCATAACAAGAGATAAGGATACTAAAGGGATCAATACAACAAGAGGATATAACCCTGGTAAACATATACTAGTATGCACCCAATGCAGGAGCACCCAAATACATTTAAAAAAAAAAACACTCCTGGAAGTTATCAGGGGAGAGATTAACAACAATACAATCATAATAGGGGACTTTAATACACCACTGACATCACTGGATAAATCAGCTAGACAAAAACTCAGCAAAGTAACAGCAATCCTACATGACTCACTA